GGACTGAGGCGATCACGAATTCGTGTACAGTTTATGGAGCTAATCGCAAAAATTTTAGAAGACTTTTAAAAATTTTTTTTTGGGGGGGGGGGGGTAATTAATGTGATTAACTAGACTAATGAATCGGCATATCATGTAATTAGCTTGATTAAACAGTGTAATCGCTCGACAGCCCAAACTGACAGTTCAATCTTACTAGGTCACTAAGGTTCGGACGGGAGCTGCTAAATACTGCGGTACATGAGTTCATGAGTATGCTTGTCGCAGTACATACTTCCCCCGGGTGGTTTTTGATTCCAGTGATGCCTTGATTCAGACCCAGCTTGTTGAGCTCGTTACACACACACACACACACACGGTCTCACACGCACTCGCACGCACACACTACTGCTCAATGATCTGTGCTGTTCAGGTGCTGATGGCAAAACCTGTTAGAGAGCTCTGTGGGACACTGGATTCTGATGGCAAATATTTCAGTATAATAATGCTAAACTGTACAACTGATTGAGTAGTCATAAAAGTACATTACATTTAGTCATTTAGCAGACACTTTTATCCAAAGTGACTTACAAAAGAGGACAATGGAAGCAATGAAAATACACAAAAGAGCAATGATATGCAAGTACAATACAGCTGCATCTACATAAAATTTAAACTGAGTCAGTTTGCGCAAATTAATTTAATTTAATTAAAAGCAGTGTATATCAACAAGCACATAACTCATGGTATTTTAATAAAAGTAGTTTGTCTTTAAAACAGGAAAATTAATCAACCACATGCATGACAGTTCTATGGATGTTTTGAATTCAAAACGAGTTCCACAATACCGGTCGCACTACTAAGATTTCTGAAAGAAGTCTCTTCTGCTCACCAAGGCTGCTTTTATTCGATCAAAAATACAGACATATTGTGAAATATTATTACAGTTTAAAACAGCTGTTTTCTATGTGAATATCTGTTAAACTGTAATTTATTCCTGTGATGTGCAGCTGTATTTTCAGCATCATTACTCCAGTCTTCAGTGTCACATGATCTTCAGAAATCATTCTAATATACTGATTTGCTGCTCGAGAAACATTTCTGATTAATTAACATTAATTAATTTAAATAAAAATATAAAATAAAATAATTTTAATCAAGGAAGCATTAAACTGATCAAAGGTGACAGTAAAGGCATTTATAATGTTACAGTAGATTTCTATTTCAAATAAATGCTGTTCTTCTGAACTTTATCAAAGAATCTTCTTTCAGAAGCATTAAACAAATCGTAATCATTCCAGATTTTTGACCAGTCGTGTCAATTTAAAAGTGTAAATTGTATATGCTGTAATTTGTCAATGTGTCTTTTATAAAATGTTACCATTTTAATCACTTTATTTTAATGGTCCTGCCTGTGACAAATTCCAGTTGTTAACATTAGTTAACTAACAATGAAAAACACAAAGCATTTATTAATCTTAATTTCAACATTTACTAATAATTATTAAAATCAAAAGTTGTTCCTGTTAATATTATTCAATGGACTTGAGCTGACATGAGCTAACAGCTGTATTTTTATTAACTAATGTTAACAAAGATGCATAAATACTGTATTGCTCGTTTCTAATGTTGGTTAAGGCATTACACAACCTTACTGTAAAGTGTTAACAGCTCATTACAGTTAAAATGAAAACAAAAGCTATACAAATAAAAGCGAACTTTCATATGTCATTACAAAATATGAGTGCTATGAAGAAAGAAGGGTCTCTGACCTGCATTGGAGAGGAGAAATCGTCCTCACAGTCCAGCCCGAGTCGACCTGCGGACGAAAGCAGACTCAGCCAAAGCCACTGGACGGCAAGCCTAACACCTTTAGCCAAAAAAGCGTAACGGCTAATGCTAACGCTTCCGGTCTGGCAGTACGTGGGAAAGGAGACCAGAAGCTGTTCTTATTGAATGGAAGTCAATGGAGGAGAGGCTTAACTTCACTAACAGCTCTTTAGAGGAAACAGCTCGTCATTTAATGAATCTTCAACATGTTTTACACTAAACTTGAACTATTTTTAGAGTTTATATAGCGGTTTTATAAGAGAAGTCACTGACTTTTTGCGACAGGTGGGATTCAGGTTATGGCACTTCTCATTCATTCCTATGGTATCCGTAAACGACGATTGAGTGTCGCACAATTCAATGACGACAAGGTTGCAATGTGATTGGTTATCAAGGCACACGTGATCCAAGTTAGCCGTTACGCTTTCTCCAATAGTAAGTAATACAGACCCTCTCATCTCCTTATAGTAAGACAATCTCTTGCTGCGTCCCAATTTGCATACTATCTGTCCTAAATAGTATTTGAAAATAGAATTAGTATGTCCCAAATCATAGTATGTTGAAAAGAGAATGCCAAAGATTCCCGGATGGTCTACTACTTGAGATTAAAATTCGAAGTGCAGATCGATGCACACTCTAACGGATAATATTGCCCACGGACGAGGATTCCATTAGAACTACTAAAAAAAAAAGTGTTTAAAAACTACAAACATGGCAGTTATGTGAGACAGGTAGAGAAAGGGGTTTGAGTGATAAATAATCAATGTCTAACCTGATTTAAAAAAAAAATTATTTAATGTTATGCTGTTATATTGCATCTGCAGCAACATTGTGAACTTTTATAATGATACGTTTGGTCATTAACTTTTAAATGCATCATTATTAGTTCTCGGCATGATAGACCCGCGACTAGCAGATCAACGTGCCTCTTCATTTCTCTCCAATACGGTAGGAAATCAAATGAAACAAAATGTGAATTTTGTTAACTGTGATAAGATGATTGACAGGGCAGTTTAAACAGTGACAGAATGCATGTAACTAAGAAACAGAGCGTCTGTTAAAGATGACGTAGTCTGTCCCAAAGCTTGCCTACTATTCTGCTACATACTCAGAAGTCTGTACTTTTTCTTCACAAAAAGAGTACATACTTTTAGGGCGTAGTATAAGTAGGCAAACTGGGACGCGGCATCTGATCACAGGAAGTGCCTGCGGTCATGTGACAGGAAGTGTCTGCGGTCATGTGACAGGAAGTGCATGCGGTCATGTGACAGGAAGTGCATGCGGTCATGTGACAGGAAGTGTATGCGATCATGTGACAGGAAGTGCATGCGGTCATGTGAAAGGAAGTGCCTGTGGTCATGTGACCGCGCTCACCGTGCTCTCCGCAGCCCCAGGAGTAGATGTCCCCGGCGCGGGTCAGCGCCACCACGTGATTGTCCCCGCAGGACACCTGTCGCACCGGACGCTCCTGGAAGAAGTCCAGCAGAACCGGCTCCAGCACCTCCATGCCCAGCTCGTTCTCCACACCGATGCAGCCGTAGTAATCAGAGCCGAACATGTACATCTGATCCTCGTCTGCCGGAGGAACCGCAAACACACGTCACACAAACACAGATCCTCCCGGGCTCCACTAATCACTTTATTTCACATTTGACTTGATATTTGTGACCCTGCAGCACAAAAGCAGTGTTAAGTCGCTGGGGTATATTTGTAGCAATAGCCAACAATACATTGTATGGGTCAAAATTATAGATTTTTCTTTTATTCCAAAAATCATTAGGATATTAAGTAAAGATCATGTTCCATGAAGATATTTTGTAAATGTCCTACTGTAAATATATCAAAACTTAATTTTTGATTAGTAATATGCATTGCTAAGAACTTCATTTGAACAACTTTAAAGATGATTTTCTCAATATTTAGATTTTTTTGCACCCTCAGATTCCAGATTTTCAAATAGTTGCATCTCAGCCAAATATTGTCCGATCCTAACAAACCATACATCAATGGAAAGATTATTTATTCAGCTTTCAGATGATGTACAAATCTCAATTTCGAAAAATTGACCCTTATGACTGGTTTTATGCTCCAAAGTCACATTTAGATATTAATGATCCTTTAAAAGTTTGGGTTTTTTAATGTTTTTGAAAAAGTATCAATCAGCCTAAATATTTGTTAAATGGAAAATATTAACAATGCGGATTTAATTAAAGGGGTCATATGATGCTTTTTTAAAGATCATTATTTTGTGTATTTGGTGTAACAGAATATGTTGACATGCTTTAATGTTCAAAAAACACATTTTTCAAATACTGTACATTATTGTAGGTCCTCTATGCCCCGCCTCTCTCAAACGCTTCGTTTTCTACAAAGCCCCCTCCTTTGACAAGCGCAGTCCGCTCTGATTGGCCAGCTGACCCAGTGCACTGTGATTGGCCGAACACCGCAAGCACTCCTCGGAAATGTAAGGCCCCTTACCATAATCGCAAGCTTCATCTTTCAAAATAAATGTAAACAAGAGCATGAAAGGGGAACAGAGTCGCGTGACAGACACAGTGATGAAGCTGGTATGTGTTTGCAGTACACAAGCCACGGTTAAGACAGCTGAAATCTGTCTTTCGCACTGACATGGCTGCATCAACACTACTGCTGTTCCTGAAACCACGCCTTCTTTCTTTGCGTGAACATTTGGGCGGCGTTATGCAAATCTTCCCACATCGTGACGTAGACATGTGGGGGCGTGTTAGAATGAGCCGTTTTAGGAGGGTGTGGCTGACTCTTAACTTTTATAAAGAATATCTCTTTGGATTTGAGACTTTAGTCTTTGCAACTTCAGGGATCTTATCTATGCACAATCAGCTTGTAACACTCCAAAGAGAAAGGAAAAAATAAAATCGCATCATATGACCCCTTTAAATCTCTTTTTTTGGCTCATTTTATCTGTAAAAGAAAACTCACACACACACACACACACGATGCGCAACACTCCGCATTTGAACAGTCAATAGCAAATACTTAAACTAATAACAAAACAGTAGCTGATTCAGAAGCGCCAGATTGTCATAGTAAAGTCAGAATTACCTCCTCTCCTAGGTTCATGAAACGGTCGTCCATAAAATGCATTGCTGTTCTGTTGTAAGTGATCCAAATAAAGTGCTTTTGCTTTCGCACTTAAACACACAGCGTCTCCCTGACATGGCTGCTTTAACACTAACTGCGGTTACTGAAACCACGCCTTCTTTCTTTGCGTGCACATTTGGGCCACATTATGCAAATATTTTCACATAGTGAGGTAGATATGTGGGGGTGTGTTAGAACGAGCCGTTTTAGGGGGGCGTGGCAGAGTCTTAACTTTGATAAAGAATATCGAGAAGCAAAACTAGTGTTCAGGATTTCAACTTCAGGGATCTTATCTATGCACAACCAGCTTGTAACACTCCAAAGAGAAAGGAAAACTTGAAATCGCATCATATGACCCCTTTAAATGCTCACATTAAAATAAATACCAAAAATAAATAAAGATATGGCTCACACACTCTACAAGCCTGCATTTATTTAATCAAAAATTTAAGTAAAAACAGTAATATTGTGAAATATTATTAAACAATCATGAATGACATGAAGAAACAGAACCAACTGAGACAGACTCAATCCTGAAGAACTGACGCTTCAAGAAAGCTCCTGAGAAACTGCTCAAGTGCACTGAGGGCAAAAGCTGCTTTAAACACAAAAGGATGCTCGCACCAAATGTTGGTTTAATTTAGTTAATAGAAGACATTATATTTGACAGCATCCTCATTTTACAGCATTTTTACACAAGTGCCTCAAACTTTTAACAGCACTGTAGCTTTGCAGGAGGTTTCTCGGAGACACAGTTCTTCTGGATTGAGTCTGTCTCAGTTTGTTCTGTTTCTTCATGTGACTCCAGACAGACGGATGATGATCAGATCAGATCTCTGTGTGCAGCACTAACATATATCTCACTGCATTATTACAATTAATGGCTAAATGAATGTTTGGAAATGTAAACTGATGTTTCCTTTTGACACACTACAGCAAAAGAGAGAAATAACTGACTTAAAACCATTTGTTAGCTGGTGGAAATACTAGTGTTCTTATCATTTTGGCTATCACTGTAGTTGCTGCTTCATATTTTTTGTGGAAACTGTGACGCATTTTGTTTTTCAGGATTCACAGATGAATAGAAAGTTGAAAAGAACAGTATTTATTTGCAGACAGGCTCTGAGCCGGTCCGCTCACCGGTGACGCAGGCGGTGAAGTCGGCTCCGCAGGACACCTGTTGGATGGCTTTGCCCTGCAGACGCTCCACTCTCCGCGGCTGGCGGTACGAGGCCTGGTCGCCGTGACCCAGCTGACCCACCATCTTGGCTCCTCCCTGAACGCTCTGCAGAAACAACACCAGCATCTCTTCAGCTCTGCCTGGAAACTGCCACGGTGACAATCTGTTTCTTAGTTTTGCATTTAATTTTGGGATTTTTGTCAGTTTAATTTTTACATTATTCTGCAATGCTTTTTAAAATATTTTTGTGCCTTTATTTTGAATGAACGTAATCAGGGCATGGTGCAGCTTGGACTCAAACCAGTGGTATTTTAGTATAATGAATAAAAATGGAAATAATGGAATAAAATTTAAATGCATAAAACAAAATATAAATGAAGGAAAATTCATTAAACCAAATTATTAAACTAAACCAAAAAAAATAATAATTGTAATAAATAAATACAAACAATATAAACACATATTAAAATGAATATAAATTAATTAAATCAAAATTAATAATTCAAATAAAGAAACGAATAATTTAAACAAAGATACAAAATGTCTTTCAATATGGCTATATTGTTTTTATTATTATTATTATTATTATTATTATTTCGGTTTTAGTTATTTTAGCACATCAAGTTTAAACTAAATTAAAATGACAGTGAATTTATAACAGCTAAGGGGCGTTGTTACCCCCTTACAACCCCCTTAGCTGTTATAAATTCACTGTAAACCACGGCTTCACGGGGATTATTGCTTTAATGGCAACTAGCTTTTCATTTTATTTCAAGTAATGATTTTTATTTTTTTTTTTGTTTAATATTAGGGTTGGGCCGATAGATGATGCCATCGTCCATCGCTGATTTTTTTTGTAGACATCGCCCAACCCTATTTACTATAATAACCTTGACTCAAAGATATTTTTTACTTACTAATAAGCGACAGTAAAAAAAATAAAAAGTACAATTAAAACACACCATAATTTTCTAGACTCAAACTGCAGTACATGGATTCAATTAATCTTTAGTTATGTTCTATTTCAGATCTTTCTGCAATATGACTACAGATTTGAGTGTGGAGTGTGATATTTACGGCCCAGGTGTACAGCTCCTTCTCGACGGTCACCACAGCGAAGTGTGTTTCTCCAGCGCAGACGTGCTGAGCGCTGCTGCCGCCCTTAAACATGTCCAGCTTCTGAGGAGTGAACTTCCCTCCGCCCCAGAAATACACCTCCCGCGAGCGCGTCGTCACCACCGCCACCGGCGTCTCCGTCACCGTGCTCAACCTCAAACCACCAAACCACAACATTAACAGCAGACAGCAACTCCAGAAACACTGACGCTCTGCTGGGAACCACAGGACACCTACTTGGGTTTCTTGATGGCTGAATTAAGCGCCGTCACCCTCTCCTCCAGCTCTCTAAACACACACACACAAACACACACACACACACACACACACACACATGATCGTCATTCACTAGAGCATCATCACTGCGGCTAAACTCAAGCGGAAGGCACCGAAATAAAAAATAAATAAAACTGAATAAAATAAAATACAATTAAAATTTAAATAAGTAAATAAATAATAAAATTCATATAAAAAAATACAAAAGATAATATAAAAAAATTATTAAAATTATAAATATATACAATTGAAATAAAGAAAACTTAAATGTTTATAACAGTTATAGTATATAAATAATAATACACAAATAAAATTTAATTATTAAAGAAATAAAAAATAACAAAGAAATTAATACAATTAAAATAAAGAAGCAAACTTAAAGCTGCAGTCTGTAATTTTTATATGACCCAAATAAGAATTTTCACCGGATATTATTTTCATCTGAACAAGTAACAAGTCTGCCACTTTTGTTCTGACCAACTCAGGAAAAAAAACATTACAATAAATCGCGCTACCAATGCTGATTAAATCTAACGATCACTTAGCTCATATCACATCAAACCGTGTAAATTATTTTTATTGTTATACTTTGTTCTCAAATTGTTAATGTTAACAACATCAGCATTGCATGACTGTGTATATAGTGTGTATTAGCGTGTAGATTTCAATTTCTGTACAGTAATCTCTAATTGTCATACCATTCGAATTTTTTAATATTAAGATATTCGTTTATTTTTAACCCAAAAAGCAAATTATTCTTCCTTCGAACTGATTGTCTTTAATACAAATCTTATGTAATCCCAGGCTATCTGTAATCAGATGCACATTTAAAACTGGAATATAATTTAATTTCAGTCACGTGTGTTTCATAAACACATAATCCTTTCTGGATTACAATCC